AATGTTAGCAAGGTGAGTACTGCAGATCAGGGCCTCTTAAAATCCCCATCATGGAGTTAAATTAGTTTCGAGTTTTTAATCTATTAAAATTGAGAACGTGCATTCTCCAGGACCCAGCGATGCCAATTCTACATCTCCTAGGGAACATCTCTAAATGCTACAGGAAGATGCATATACAGAAGAGTTGTTGTGCATAGATGTTGCATGTGGTGCCTGGTATAAGGATGGCCAGCAACAGGACAAGTGGATATGGAAAGCCAGATGCCCGCAGGGTCCAGGAGCCAAACAGGCGTGGTGGGTACCCTTCCACAGAGAATGTACTCCCCTCTCATTCTGCAACAACAGCTGAGGAATATATCTCTGGTTGAGAGGCAGAGCAGAGCATTTAGTGGGTTTTCCTTTGTCTCATTCTGTCACAGATCCCAAGGGAAAAAAGCTTTGCTTAAATACATACCTCTTGCCAGATGTGATAGCACATGCCTGTAATCCTAGAAGCTCAGGAGGCTGAGACAGGAGAATTGCAGGTTCAAAGCCAGCCTTAGCAACAGCAGGTGCTAAGCAACTCAGTGAGACCCTATCTCTAAATAAAATTCAAAATAGGGCTGGGAATGTGGCTCAGTGGTTGAGTGTCCCTGAGTAGCTCAATCCCCAGTACCCAAGAACCACCAAAATGTGTGTGTGTGTGTGTGTATAAAATATGTGTGTGTGTATCTCCCCCTATAAGGCAAAGCAGTTTCATCCACCCAAATTTATCCATCCAGAGAAGATGGTTAGAAATAATGGTTAGTGAAGAATCACCTTAACTGTGTGTATCACATTTAACTAATCCAAAGACCTCACTTTATTTTTTTTAAATTTCTGTTCTTATCTTTATTATTTCTTTCCTTCTAGTTGCTTTGGTTTTATTTTGCTCTTTCATTTCTATAGTTTTTTTCAACTCTTAAATTTGTTCAGGTTTGTTTTATGTCTCAGGATATGGTCTACTTTGTTTTATGGTTCATGGGTGCTTGAAAAAATTATGTGTTCTGATATTAGGTATGATGTTCTATAAATTTCAACAATAGATCCTATTGTATGTTACTGTTGATACTGTTGTACGATACTGCTATAGAGCTAGTTCTTCTATACCCTTGCTGATTTTCTGTCAATTGCTAAGAAGGGGATAAAACAGAAGATTTAAACTCCAACATAAAAATTACCATATTAAATTTAAATGATCTAAATACACTAAGGACAGAGAATGGAGGAGCATATTTTTTTCAAATGTACGTTATCATAAAGAAACCCTTCACATATAATGATATGGATAAGTTAAAAATAAAATGATAAAATGATATAGAAACATTAACAAAACAAAGCAAGAATGCTTATATTAATATAAAAAATTAAACTTCAAAGCAAAAAGAATTATCAAAGATAGAAGGACTTTTTATAATGATAAAAGGGCCATTCCATGAAGATGACACCAACTCCAAGCATATGTGCTTCATACAAGAGAATTGAAAAATACATGAAGCAAAAGCTGGAATTGAAAAGGGAAATACACAAAGACCTTACAAGTGAGGAAATGAGAAAACGGCTGAGGGTGAGAGAAGTGGCTCAGCATTCCACTCTCCGTGGCTTTAGGAAAAGAATTCTGGTGTCACACTCCTCTCCTGGGCTTCATTTACCAGACATCCCTCCTCAACCACTAAGTTAGGAAGCTATTTCCCACAGTCTTATCGACAAAATGCAATACAGTTAATACAGCCAGCTGAGATAAAGGATGAAGGTCAAGCTGAAAGAGACTATTTCTGTCTAAAATAGTCAAGAAATATTGAAATGGGGGAAGCTGTATGGATCCCAGCACCAGTTGATAAGTGAGAAAATGAGATTAAGGAGAATTCATAAAAGAAATTGTGATTCATTATTAAAGAATATGGAAACTGTCCACCCCCACAGGAAATGTAAGAGATGCATATGGAAATGATCACAAGGCACTATTTTCATCCATCGAGCTGGCTTTGATGATGAGCACTCAGTGCTCCTCCGATTGCCATGAGGCTGTTTCTCTCAAAGACGTGACATGTGTGGCCAAGTTGGGATGCCCAACTTATAGAGCAATTTGCAATGCCAGAATCCAAGGAGCATCCAATACCAGGATTCAAGGAACGTCCATTCCTCTCATCAGGTTCTTCCTCTAAAAAATATATATGTTAAGAATGTTTTGACAAAGGGATACACTGAAAGATATTTTCCATGGCATTATTTGTCAGTGAATAAATGAATTGCCAAATGTCAGTGTCCTCAGGGTTCTTTCTGCCTAGGAGTCTCTTATGAATCACTCCACATTCTCTGAAGTTACCAGCTGTCAACCCCATCACCTCTACAGCTGTGTGCCAAGCTCACACCTCTCTCTTATGTCTCCAGCTGCCTCTTAGACAGCCCCATTGGATGCTCAAGAGTAAACTCACTTTCCTTCCACCGCTTTGGTTTGAATGTTTTTGTCCCCTCTGAAATTCATGTTGAAACTGAATTCCCAATGCCGCAGCACTAGGAGGTGTGGCCTTTGGGAAGTGGTTGAGTCAATGACAACTTGGCCATCATGAATGGGACTAGATGCCTATAAAAGAGCCTGATGGAGGGAATTTGTCCCTTCCCCCTTCCACCTTCTGCTATATGAAGACACATTTGTCCCCTCAAAAGACACAGTATTCAAGGTGCCACTTTGGAAGAAGAGCTGTAACATCACCAGACAACCAACTCATTGACGCCTTGACTTAGAATTCCCAGCCTCCAGAATTATAAAAAACAAATTCCTACATTTTATAAATTATCCAATCTCAAGTTATTCTGTTATAGCAGTACAAACAGAATAAAAGCCAGCTCTCCAGTCACTGAAGCCAAACCCTCAGGCATCATTCTTGTCTCCTTCCTGTCCTTCAACTCCCCATCCACCTCCAAACTTTCCTTAATATCTACCCATTTTTCTCTAACACCTCCTACCATGCCACTTCCCTAGTCAAATCCATCAGCATCCTTCCCCTGAATAACCACTAGAGACCCTCCTTCGTGGTGTTTTACAACTCAGTCTTGCTGCTGCCCCATCAATTCTCCATCCTGTATAATTCTCTTCCTAAAACAAAACAAAACAAAAAAAATGACCTTGTTTCTCCTCCATGTACAAACTCTCAGTAGCTTTCTGTTCTCTGCAGCACCAGTCCAGATCCATGTTCCTGAACTAGGATGAGGGGATCTCTGGCCCATCCCTCCAGACCGAGTTCCAACCACGTGCCCTTGCCTCTGCAGCCTTTTCCCTTGCTTTGGGTGTGCCACACACTACTTCCCTTTTGTTCTTTCCATAGGATGTTCAAAGGCACTCAAGCTGGATCCTTTGCATCATCCCCATCAGTTGAATGATTGGGTAAATCATTGAGGTGCAATGTCTACTCTATGTATAAGCTTCACACAGAAATGATGCTGAAACAAGAAATACATGAAATTTTTAGATGGAACTTTTTAAAATGCTCAACACATTTTGTACCTAGCAGACACAGTTTTACACCACATTAATCTGTGGAAGTTAGTTCTGACAACTCAGTCTTGAAATTTTACCACTTGACTGGCACCAACTCACCAGGAGCTGGGACTTTCCACCTTCCTGCCCACATCCTTCCTTCTTTCCTTCACCACCCACTCACATTTCTTCACCATCTACATTCTTTCCAATGATATCGAACCTTTATAACCATTTTAATTGAGGACACATAAGAATAAAGACATCTATGGCCAATAGAGAAAAAAGATGGGAGAGATAATTCACAGTAGAACTGCCAGCGACCAACAGCAAAATGAACCAAGTATCAGGACAAGGAGTTAGTCACACAGTCTTGGGAGGAGACCTCCTGGAAAAAAGCAGCTAAAAACTCATACCAAGCACTTTAAGACTGATAAAATTCAGAAAGTTAATGAGAATAGCAAAGTATGGTGGCTGAGAGGATAAGCTCTGAGATCAGAGTGGGACTGACCCTGACTTACCTTGGGCAAGTTATTTATCCTCTTCAGTCATTGTGTCTAGCACATAGTAGTTTCTCAATAAATGCTAACTATTCATGCTATTAATACTGAGCTTATGGTGAGGGCAGAAGTTGGGGTAGGTACAAACCTAATAAGCTAGGGCTTCAGAATAGACATACTCTACCAATGAGAGCTGCAGGTGGCAGTGTTTAGAGCTATTCGCACCAGTCCTGCAACTCCAAGTATGGTTCCTCAGAGCAGCCACAGTAGCATCACCTGGGTGCTTGCTAAAAATGCAGACTCAGGGCCTCCCCAGGCATCCTAAATCAGAATCTGCATTTTAACCAACAGGTGATTCATTTGCATATTTGAGGTAATACTATCCTGGGTTCCTTTGGCTTGTTTGGAAAAACTGTTTACAGACAGGCAATAGCTGCTACCAATTGGAATCTGGAGGTAGAAGAGTTGCTAGGTAACCAAAATCGGGTGAATCCTTGACTTTTCCCCCCTTTTAAATTGTTTCTTGGAAGTCAAATAGAATAAGCTGGTACTCTTTAGCATAAATAATCAAAATGCTCACTTCTGAAAAATAGGGACAGTCATTATTTATTGGTGTGCTCTTATGCCCCTAGCATGTGCTAAGTGCTTTATATATGTCACCTCATGTAAAATGTGATCATTGTTGTCACCATTTCACAGATGAGGAAACTGAGTCTCAGGAAAGTTACAACATCATTTGAATTTGCACAGATACTGAAAACCCAAGCAGTGATTCAAACAAGGATTAATCTGACCCTTTAGTCCCTTTTTCTCTTCTGAGTCCATCTTGTATCAGACTCTACTAGTGACCTGGAACAAGTAATACCCCAAATAATACCGCAGTCACTAATGCATGGCCTAACCCAGCTACGTTATCCTAATTCCCCTCTCCCAGACCCAGACAGGGATTTGCCCTTTTCTTGACCCAGATTTATAAGAGAAAAGAGAACAATGCCAAGAAGTACCTGTGTCCTTTGTCAAAGGCTGCATCCAGAAGTCTCCGTGGCCCAGTCTAGGCCTTCACCATGGAACAACTTTCCAACAATGAGCAAGGATCTCTTGCCAGTCCGTCTGCTGAGAGACCACAGTCGTGTTACTGCCGCCTTTGTTTACTGTTTGTCACTAAGCACTCAGCTGCCCAGAGAGTGAGTCAACAAGGTCCCTTCCCTTTTCTGCTGCTGTTGCTCTCCTGGGCCCTATTCTCTGGCCTGTTAGCAGACAGACACCCCCCCACCCCAGCAGCCTGTGTCCTCAAAGCCATTGACCCGTGAGCTAGCCGGTAAGAGCTCAATCGGATTAGGTGCCACCGAAGGCCATGGGAGGGCAGCTCAGCTGGGCTTTTACACTGATGTCACTTTATCTCCTGGTTCAATAAAAAAAAGATTCCTGCAAGGTGCAGGAGACAGCCTCAGAACCAAACTCAGTTTCATCAACACACCAGTCCTCCATACCCTTTTACAGCACAGACTTTGGACCTGAACCCAAGAGAACAGAGACTCATGCAAGCTCATCATAAACAGAATACTTGGAGCTGCTCAAGGGAAGGCAGGAGGAATGTGGATGGAGAAAGAGGGAAAGGATCTTCATACTCTCTGATACTCAGGTTCAGAAAGAACCTTCAGAAGAGGGGAACAGCAAGAAAGAGATCACAACTCCTGTATAAGTAGTGGCAAAAGAGCAGATATTTTGAAGCTTTAAAATAATACACAGTGCTAAAACTGAGAATTTTTTAAATTTTTTAATTTGTTTTAATTACTTATACATGACAGTAGAACACATTTATGCACTTTGATATATCGTACATAGATGGGGTGGAATTTCTCATTTTTCTGATTGTACACGTTGTAGTGATGCAGCCAATGTTTATAACAGCTCAATTCACAATAGCTAAACTATGGAACCAATCTATGTGTCCTTCAACAGATGAATGGATAAAGAAGTATTTTTTAAAAAGGAAAAATATGATGTTTTGCTTTCCCAATAAATAAAATTTAAAAATTTGCTGGTGAGGGGATGATCAATGAGCACATTCTCATATGCAGATAGTAACAATATTGATTAGTACTATCTTTCTACAAGGATTAGTAATCCTGGGTAGTATTCACTGGTAATAATCACTGGTAATATTCATTAAACTTCAAAATACACACATACTTTGCAAGCCCAACTGCTAGGAAGTAACTCAATTCTTGCAAAAATTCACCAAACATTTAAAGGATGATGCTCATTGCAATACATGTATATATATATATATATATATATATATATATATATGTGTGTGTGTGTGTGTATTTTTACTTTGTAGCAGATGCATAAAAACATTGCAGTACATTTTTGAAATAGCAAATAAGTAACAGGATCCATCAATAGTGATTACATAAAGAAATTGTGGTTCACACACACAGTGATAAACCAACTACAGAGCTGTTCAAAGAAGGGAAATAGATCTATGTGTGCTGACATTCAACAATCACCGAGAAAATGCTTTCAAAGATGAAAGGTGTATCATAGCCCAATATGATTCCCTTTATTACAAATACATAATTAAAAACCAAGTATTTGTATATTCTTTATTTAGAAAAAAAATCACAAGAAACTCAAGAGTGATTGCTTTTAGGAGAGATAAATTATTTTGGGTATTCCCTCCCCCCTTATAACTTTTTATTATATTGCTTTAAAAATTATGTAATATTTTGTAAAATGTATATTTTTCCTGCTTAATGCCACCTTTACTGCTATTCTATACTATGCATCAAAACATTTTATAATATTTAAGACTACTTAGTATTATTTCTCTGAAATTTGTTCACTCGTCAGATTCAACCTGTAACTTTATAAAATTCAGATTCCCAAGCATTTCCCTGGACCCGGTGAACCTGAATTTCTGGAGCAGATCCATTTGTAGCAAGTGCCCAGGTGATTTTTATTTAGCAATTTGTTCAGGTCAACCATGCAAAAAAATGAAGAAATTGAGTCCCAGAGGGAGAAAGTGAATTTCTCTAGTAATATAGCAGGCTCTCAGTTGACTCTCAGCTCTCTATAGTTGCTAAGTCTAAGTCACCTGCCACCCAAGTAAATGTTGATCTGCTTAAAATCACCACCACCTCCACCTTTTCTGTTAGAAATATTAGCACAAAGCAGTAATCTCCTTGTACAGTTTGGTCTGCTAACATTTCAAAGGCGAAGGTGGTCCTTTTTATGAGATGGGAGGGAGGGGAAGAAAGCAGATGAAATGACATAGAAATGCTGGGCCCAGTAGGAGGAATCTGACAGTCCCTTGTCCCATGACCTCAACATTGCCAAGGAAGTTGCACTCAAAGGCAGCCGCTGATGAATATGTTGGGACTCAGAGTTAAAAACAGAGCCAATTTGGAGTGAGTATAAATGATGGTGATCAATTTAAGAAGGGGCATAGAGTCGGTGAGCAACAGTTGGGCCTGAGGGACTGGAACCTGACAGAGGGTCAGAGAATCAAGAAGGCCAGAGGGAGGGAGGCCAGTAAGGCAAGAGGATGACCAGGATAAGATGGGGGAAAATGCTAACGGCTGGCTCAGTGCCTGTAATACATTTTGTGTGATAAAGGAGGAAGGCAGGGATGTTTAAAGTATTATGTCTGAGCAAACCAGACACTTAGGTTTCAAATCTGTGGCTGGGCAGGGCAGGCATAGATTGATGTGGATCAACAGGTAACCAGAAAAGATAGTGAGGACAGGGGCTGAAGAGGGAGATGAAGCCAACTGAAACTGGTAGACCAACAGCAATAGGAGGGGCAGAGTCTGGTCTCTTCTGCTTCCCTTAGCAATTGCAGGGTTGTGATTTGAACTTGGAGCTAACCTGTCAAGCACGTGGACAGCTAACAAAGGTGTGTGATTTGGGATGAATGACATTTCCTAGTGTCGCTGCTATTTCTTTAGATAAAATTTGAGTGATGGTTAACTGAAAGGAAAGTACATGCTTTAGTAACTAAGATTTCGATGGCAAGGTCCTGTGAACCAGCCCTGGAGATCATGAGGAGGCAGAGGCCTGAACAGCACTACCTACAGGTGCCTAGATGCTGTGGGTGCAAACACCTTCCACCTACCATGGTTGCTCCTTTGACTCTCCTTTCAGGTACAGTGAGTCAAATCCAGGGCCCAGAGAGGAAGGAAGCAGGAGTTGAGTTGAGACTGGAATTGGAGACCCACTGGAGCCAGGTCTGCTGTCAGAGGAGGTGCAATAAAGGACCCACAGGATGGAGAGCAAGCAGAAATAGACATGAGTCAAGGCCACTTGTGAACAAATTGGGAGATACCAAGCTCCTGTGGCCTTTTTTCTCAGAGCAATATAGTCCAATGCTGGCAAGATGCTAGGAAGAGATAAATAACAATTCAAGCACTCAACTGAAAAACAAAGCACTAAATTTGGGTAAAGGGTCAATTCTTCCAGAGCTTATCTGCTACTGAAATGGGAACTCTTTGAGTGCATAAGTGGCCTATAAGGGCTTTGCCTCACACTCACTCAGAACTGACTCAGCTCCTCTTATCTGGTCATTGGGTGAGAACTTGTTGCCTTCCCCACTTTCCTTACTGCCACAGTCTCAGTCCCTCACTACCACTCCTGCCCATGCCTTTAATAGCCCACCCGTCTGTCTCTCTTGGCTCCCACTGGGGTCACCAGTCTGTCTGACTTTTCCATTACATCAGCTGAGTCCTGGACCAAACAAGTATGACAATAATGAAGTAGATCCCCATTGTTCAATTACTCACTCACTTATTATCCCACTGCTTACTGGCTATGGGAACTTGAGTGACTTATTTAATCTGTCTGTTAAAAGAGAATAATTGTGAGAATTAAATTAACAAATTCATGGCAATCCACTGCATATTTTACACATTCAATGAGCTACTCATTGTCATTACTGTAATTTCAGTATTATCCATACCATCATTTACTCAAACATTTATCAAAGTCAACTCTATGCCAGGTACAACTCTATGCAAAGAACAATGGTAAAGGAGACTTGTGTCTGAGCTGCTAGTGCTGGGATGGTTTGGAACACCACCCATCTGTATCTACCTCTACAGACCATTACCTAACATAAGACTTCACAAATAATGCATTTCTTTTAGAAGGCTACAAATTATTCTTATTCTCATGGGCCATGACCTCTCTATCAATGTGATTTCTTTCCCTGAACTAAAGAGCTCATCCAAACATGGGAATGAGTCTCTCATGGAAAAAATGGTGAAGTCATGTTATCTATGCTTTTGTCAAGTGACAGAGAAGCAAGACCATCCAATACCAATGAGAGGCAGTCCTACATCCAACAACGCAGAACCAGCATGAAGCACCGAACCAATGAATCCCACACCTGGTGGCCATCGGTGGAACTACATCAAAGCTCTTCATAAAACAGCCATTTAGTCCTCCTTCTCTGTCAGGATAGCATGGAGGGCTACATGGCGAGCAATGTTGCCCAATTGTGGCTATTTCTTAATAAATTAAAGAAGAAAAACCACCACTAATTGTAAGGCAGTACATTACAATCATAGAACCAGATCTGAGTTTCAACTCTAGACTCGGCCCTGTGGATAAGCCAGGAGACCTTGGGCAATTTAGCCTCTCAAATTAGTAAACCAATGTTTTCATCTGAACCAGAGTCATAATAATACTTATCTCATAAATTCAATATGAGGATAGTATAAGATTATAGATGTATGATATATGGCCAGTTTTCTTGAAATATTAATACATATTGCCCCAGAGTCCCCAGACCACTAGCCACTGGATTCAGTGTCATTAATACACAGTCCATGCAAACACAAGCCTGTTCCTGCATGGGTCCTTGCAATCTCATGTCTCCCTTATGTTTCTGGAACAACCAATCAGTCCCAATCACAACTCCCTGGTACCATGTTGACCGAGGACCATGGATAGTGCGCACCTTGCGTCTACCTGCTATAGAAGGAACCACATGAAAGGGAATTCATTGATATTTTTGTGGCAGGAGGTGACAAAACCCATCACACAAATTCTACCCATCCCTGGACACATGGCCCGTTGGTGAAAAATTGCTCACACTTCCCAGTGTTATAGGCACTTGATCAAGCTAGGAAGTGGTCCC